AGCTCAGCCTCTAATTAATAGTGCTCATCATCGGAACCCAATACAGAGAACTGCTAAGAGTACAATGAGCAAATGTTTAGAAAGGGAAAAAAAACACTGTATAAATAGTTTTGTTAGACTGGGCTCCTCCACACTACATTATCAGTTTACAACAAATAACTAAGAAAGAATTTATGAGGAGAGGGACTTAATTATATGTATCTTTTATCTTCAAATCTTTGTAAAGTGTCTGTGCAAATGTATGCTAAATGAAGATATAACTTGTACAATTTTTTTTATAATAACTGGATACTGCATTTTGTTTATCCTATATTCTGTATATCACAGGGATGGTTCCTTTAAGGAGAGAATGGAGTTCCCAAGCCCCCAAAACTAGGTATTTCAAACATATATCTTTTCTTACCTAATGATACAACCAAACTTTACAAGTATTGCCAATTAAGAAAAACTGATGAGGCTTATAAATTAATAGAAAAAGTTAATTGAGAAGTTCAAATTTCTGTTGTTGAAAATTTAGAGATATGAAGGTAGGTTAGGTTGGGCAGGGGAGGCACCTAATTAAAACAAACAAATGATGGCACTGTACTTTTACCTTCCATATTACTATCTGATGATTATTTTAAGTACAGTATTGTAATTGCTATCACAACTATCAATATTATTAATGTTGTTAGTACTGTTTTTATATTCTATCAAGTATTAATATTAAAGTTATCAGAAATGTAAAATTAATGTATATAGAGACCAATATGAGATTAATAGCATTAAATGTACTAGGTCGACACTCAATTTATATTCAAGAGCAAGAGTCAAAAACCTTTCCTTTAAAAAGACAGACAGTAAATATTCTAGACTTTGAAGGCCATATGATCTTTGTTTCCAGTACTTGACTCTGCCACTATAAAAATAGTTAAAGAACATATATAAATGAATCAGCATGGATGTGTTCCAAAAAAACTTTATTTACAAAATAGGATGTGGGCTGGATTTAGCCTGCCAGTCATACCTTGTTGATCCTTGACCTAATAATTAAAATGAAGATTAAAAATTTCGTTTAATAAAAATTCTCTTCTACCCATTCCATTAAGACTTGACGGTCCACTGGATACCCACCTCGGGAACCGATTGCTGAACTGGCACGCATCACAATAATGATCTTCCACTCTGTTTGCACCCCACTTCAACTCGTCTTCAGTGGGAAATAATCCTTCACCTCTAGACTTCGTCGTGCCACCACATTTGCTGCACACAATGTCATTCACCCATTGAAAAAATTCTTCCTTAAACCAGTGCAGAAGCTCCAGCAAAAGAAAATCCTCATCACTTAAATTAGTACCTGAGAAATTAAAACAGAACCGAGTAAGAGCTAAAGGTGACAAAAACTAAAAATATCCATTCTCAGATATGAGCTGAAATATATGAAAATATATGATCTCAAAGGTTTGCACAAATATTAATGCAAGAAATATCATTAGATATTGATTGTGAATGAGGCTGAAATAGGGTAATAGTACACTGCCTTTTAGAGCAGTAGGACGTTTACCACTTTGTACCCTCTGACAGACATTATGCATTAACATGTGAGCTGAACACACAATCTCTCAGGGAACTATGGTCAGTTTGGAATTGATCCTAAAACACATGAGAAGTTAAGAAAAAATTCTGATTTGGAAAAACACTTTAAAATTACTGTATTAAAGTTATCAGGTATATATACAAGGAAACATGAAACAATCACAAAATCACAGACAGGAATCACACAATTCCAGGCACTTTAAAAATCATCCTATTAGCTTTTGTATCAGGGTTTCAACATACAACATAATCCGTCCATGGATACTCTCTACAAAACATAAAAACATGAGCATATCTACACTGTATATAATGACCCTACCAAGTAAGCATGACACATAATAAAACATCCCCTTTATCAAATAAAAATACCTTTCTTGACCATATTTAAGGCTACGGTGTCTCTGGAATGAAAGAAAAGAGAAGGGGAAAAAAACCTAGGAGACCTATACAGGGAACTCTCATCTCTGAGTTTAATGTTTTATTATTTAAAAAATGATACATAAAGGAAATGTATAGCATAATGTTAAAGTCTAATAAAGTTTGATGCTGGTCATGGGTGTTTGATATGTTATACTCTATTCTTATATTTGTTTGATATATTTCACAATTAAAAAACTATGAAACTACAGAGAATATAGAAAGGCCAGAAACATTTTATTTTCCTGTATTAGAAAACTCAATAGTTCTCCACAAATTAATCTGTAATTTAATGTAATCTCAGTAAAATTATAAAATATAAAATCTGACAAGCGAAGTTCATGTCAAAAAAAATGCACAAAATGGTCAGCATAACTTTGACTAAGAACCATGAGATAAATTTGCCTACTACATATCAAAACACATTACAGAATTCTAATGATTAAAATATTGTAATATTAGGGAAGAATAGACAACAAATCAATAAAACTAGAGTCCTGAAAGACAGATTTTTGTTTTCATTTTTTATTGGGTGTATTGGGAGTGACACTGGCTAACAAAATTTTACAGGTTTCAGGTGTACAATTCCACAACACATCATCTGGACACTGTATTGTCTTCACCACCCCAAGTCAAGTCTCCTTCCATCACCATTTATCCCCTTCATCCCCTCCTCCACTTCCCTCCATGGCACCTCTGCCCACACTGTTTTCTGTGTCCATAAGTTTTTTATTTTTTTCTCAATCCTTCCACTCCCAGCCTCCCCACCCCACTGACAGGTGTCAGCCTGCTCTGTCTATGGGTTTGTCTCTATTTCGCTTGATATCATTTTGTTCATTAGATTCCACATATGAGTGAAATCATATAGTACCTGTCTCTCTCTGACTGGCTTATTTCACTTAGCATAATGCTTTTCGGTTCATCCATGCTGTCTCAAAGGGTAAGATTTCCTTCTTTTTTAAGGTTGAGTAGTATTCCATTGTGTAAGTGCGCCACAGCTTTTTTATCACTCCATGCAATGATAAGCACTTGGGCTGAGGGTTTCTTTGAATATATTCCCAGACGTAAAATCACTGAGTTATACGACAGTTCCATTTTTAATTTTTTGAGGTAACTCCATACTGCTTTCCACAGTGGTTGCACTAATCTGCATTCTCACCAACAGTGCAGGACAGTTCCCTGTTCTCCACATCCTTGCCAACACTTGTTTGTTGATTTATTGATGATAGCCATCCCAACAGGTGTGAGGTAATACCACATTGTGGTTTTAATGTGCATTTTTCTGGTGATTAGTGACGTTGAGCATCTTTCAGATACCTACTGGTCATCTGTATGTCCTCTTTGCAGACGTGTTTATTCAGATCCTATGCCCAATTTTTAAAATTGGATTATTTTTTGACATTGAATTTTGTAAGTTCTTTATAAATTTTAGATGTTAATCCTTTATCACTGGCAAATATGTTCTCCCATTCAGTGGGTTGTCTTTTCATTCTGTTGATGGTTTCCTTTGCTGTACAAAACCTTTTTACTTTGATGTAGTCCCACTTGTTCATATTTTCTTTTGTTTCCCTTGCCCGAGGAAATATTTCAGAAAAAAAAATATTGCTATGAGAAATATCTGAGATTTTACTGCGATAAACCATATTTAATAAAGTTAGTCTTTCAAAGTAGTTCTAAGAGGAAGGACTGTTCAGTAAACAATATTGGGACAGGTAGCTATCAAAATAGCAGATTCTTACTGTACTCCATTCATCCTTAAATGTATATTTATAGTACTATATATATAATATATATATATACACACACACAGAAAAAAAATGCTATAAAAGTAATAGAAGTTACAAGAGAATGCTTATGACTTTTGTTCATGAATATGTCTAAGGCCTTAACCAAGACAAAAATTGTAAATTAATGAAAAAATAAATAAATTTTCTTATAGTGTACATCAAAATATATACTAAGTGAAATTAAACAAAGAACACGGGGAGGGGGGCGAGTAACATGACTAACAAAGAAAAACTAAGTACCCCAAATATATAAGAAACTTCTAAAAATAAGTAATAATACTAACACACCTATCAGAAAAATTTAAAAAGTTCATAAAAGAAGTTCAATAATTTCCTTTGTTTGGCAGGATCTATGATAACAAATATATCACACACACATGCATGTATGCCAGGAGACATGCTCTACAAGAATCTTCACTGCTGCAGCATTTAGAATAGAGATAGATGGTAAAAAATCTCAATTTTCTTGGATAGAAAATGGTACAAATAAAGTATATGCATAATATAGAAGAACACCATGTAGAGTTAAAAAGATTTCTAAGACATGATAGTAAACTTAACACACCACAGAGCTAAAGATATATGGGATAAATTTTATGTAAACCCACACAACTTATTTATTTTTATAGATAACTGTAAATGAGTGTAAATACCCCCCAAAAATATGAAAAGGAACACATCACAAGATAACAAGTGGTAACTATAGAAGAGGCGTAGGGCTGACTGGCAAGAATTTAACTTTTCCTGTATATGTAAGTTTTCTAACCAAAAAGGTATTCACGAATGTTAGATTAAAAATAAACTTTTAGAAATATAGCACTGCCATCATCTCTCCTTAGAGTCCCTGCAACAGCCAGATAAGAAACAATTACACAAAAACTCAGTAAAATGCTGAAGTTGGAATAACTTAACAACTAAAATCCTAAGACCATATATGATAACAATGACATATAACTATTGGTAGATGAATGTGGCAGAATTGTTCAGAGCCATTTACAAATAATATCATTTCTGAAAATTATCATTCCTATTTCAAATAAAGAAGTTTGAGGCATAAAGATTAAATTACTTGCTCAGTGATGCACAGTAAGTGGCAGAGCTAAAATTATACCCAGGCAATTGGCTTCAAGATCTACATTTTTAATTAGTAAATAATCTCTCTCTTTTAACCAAAGTGAATCAATGGTCTAATCATATAAATTAATTGTGAATACAGTTTCTCTTAGATTCACATTAAGATTCACTAATAACACCATCATATATTCCATGGACTCAAGTTCTACTAAACCTAAAAAAATTCACATACCAATGATTATGATTAAACTGCAAATACATGTTTGGGTAAAAAAGTGTTTTTGTTTTGTTTTAAATATATTTTTATTTATTTCTGATAGGAAGTGGGAGAGAAAGAAATATCAATGATGAGAGAGAATCATCAATTGCCTATCTCCTGCATCTCCCCCACTGGGGATCAAGCCCACAACCTAGGCATGTGGTTCATAGGTTGACACTCAAACACTGAGCCATACGAGAAGGGGTAAAAAAAGTTTTGTTTGTTTTTTTTTCAAATATTAACGGATGTGTTCATTAGTTATATGCAATAAAGTTATGCTGTTATTGTATTCTTTAAAAATCCACACAGAAATAGGTTAGATATTTACAATATATATAGCAAAGAGCACCATTTAGTGTTTCTGTTTATTTAGCAATGATGCATTTTTAGCAATGAATGGTGATGTAAAGCTCCTACCTTTATCCAATTTCCTAGCTCTAGATAACTTTTCTTGGGATCTCTTTTTCAGTTCTTGGACGGGAATACAAGCCAATGCTTTCTGCTGGAGAGCAAGATTTTCATAGACCAGCACATGCTGTAGGTTGGCCTGAAGAACTTTCAGAATGATTGAATCAGCAGTAACCTAATAGAAAAAAAACCCTGAAATTAGTTTTTCTCCATTTTCTATAAAAATAACATAAAAAGCACTGGCTATATGATTTCATAAAGAGGAACATATGAATTTACTTAAGTAATTATACTCAAAACCTTTACAAAATTAATATGAGATAGCCATATCTGTGTCACAGTCTAAGACATATATTTTTTTCCTCTGAGAATATTATATTACTGAGGATATATTGAAACAGGGGTGCGATGAATTGTTGACCACAAGCTTGGATCATGACAATGCTCTGTTCAATGCATGTAACAGCCCTTTCCACTTCAAATTCCTGTAAGTAATATAATTTATAAAACTTTATTCAGCATTAGCATAGGATAAGTACTCTTAAAGAGGAAAGGCAGATACAAATGAATTAAAGGAAGAAACCACATTAATATGTCCTCTAGAGAGAATGGTTACAAAAACTAAAAAAAGTTCTCAAAATAATCCCAAAGGCAGAGGAGCCACAGAATCCACAGAGCAGGAAGAGGCCTTAGAGCAAGCATTAGAGACTGGATGGGTCCTGCAGAAGGAATACTTAGACATTTTGCACCTCTCACCCCGTCACTCCTTGTCAACAAAGAATGTGCCTCTGAACAGTGCCAGAGGATGCTTAGATTCCTAAAAGGAAAGAGGCGTGTCCAAACTAAGAACAATTACTTTTGGCAGAGCCCACTTAAACAAAACAAAAATAGAAAGATTTTAAAAGAACAGAGATTTAAAAAGCCAAGAAAGCAGAAACATAGAAAATACAAAATAAAATGTCAGAAATAAGTTCAAACATGTTATTAATTATAGGAAGTGTATTAAAAGGTTAAAGATAGATTAATTTAAAGAAATAAAAACAATTGCCAAATGCTTTTTAAAAAAATATATTTTTATTGATTTCAGAGAGGGGGGAGAGAGAGAGAGAGAGAGAGAGAGAGCGAGAGAGAGAGAGAGAGAGCGAGAGAGAGAGAGAGAGAGCGAGAGAGAGAGAGAGAGAGCGAGAGAGAGAGAGAGAGAGCGAGAGAGAGAGAGAGAAACATCAGTGATGAAAGAGAATCATTGATCAGCTGCCTTCTGCATGCCCCCTACTGGGGATTGAGCCCACAATCCAGGCATATGCCCCTGACCATAATCAAACCCGAGGCCCTTCAGTCCGCAGGCCAATGCTCCATCCACAGAGCCAAACCAGCCAGGGCTGCCAAATACTTTTAATGATGGGCACTGTATTAAGCACTGGGATGGGTGCACAAGACAGACATGATCACTTTATGATACAAGTCGGGAGGCATTAAACAAAAATGATAGAACCACCACATTACGTTAAAAATAATGGAGACAAGCCCGGCCGGCGTGGCTCAGGGGTTGAGCACTGACCTATGAACTAGGAGGTCATGGTTCGATTCTCTGTCAGGGCACATGCCCAGGTTGCGGGCTTGATCCCCAGTGTGGGGCCTACATGAAGCAGCCTTTCTATGATTCACTCTCATCGTTGATGTTTCTCTCTTTCTCTCTCCCTTCCTCTCTGAAATCAATAAAAATATATTAAAAAAAAATAATGAAGACCAAAATAGACAAGGACATTATCCTCTCAGAATAAGTAGCCTATGGATACAGAAACAGTGATAAAACAATGTTCATTTATTCAAATATTTAACGACCTTTTATTATTTGCTAGGTACTGGGGATATAATGGTACGTTAGACAATGTATTCATAGATATGGTAAGAGTTATAAAGCAAAGAATAAGGATAGTGAGACTTTTCAACAGGGTTCTGACCCTAGAATTCCCTGAATATATGATATTTGTGGTAAAATATGAATAATGAGAAGCAGTTCATAAATAGGGAAAGGAAAAGACCATTCTTGTCAAAGGAACAGCATGTAGGTAGCTAGGGAGCATGTGAATTGGGATTATGCTTAGTATAAAGTGAAAAATCAGAGAGAAGAAAATCGTAGAGACAAAAGGCTGAAAGTAGAGTTGGTAAGTAGCTGAATCTTTCATACCTCGTTCCATTGTAATGCGATATTATGAAAGAGACTTAAGCAAGGAAATAAAATGATCAAATTTGTATTATCAGAATATCAATCTAGCTGTAGTGTAGAGAAGGCAGGTATAAAAGACCCAAAGGGGGACAACTGCAGAATTCTTGAGAGAGCTGGTGGCTTAAACTAAGGTGGTTATAGTAGTGGTAGAAAAGTGAATGAATATAAAAACAACTTAGGAAATAGAATCAACAAATCTTGGTGACTGAACTGTAGGGCCAGAGGAGTTAGAAAAGTAGAAAAACACATAGGCCTGATCCACAGATTCTCTAATATGAGCAATGGGGTCAATAGTTGAACTAGTTACAGAAGGAGAGAAAACCAGAAAATGATTAACTGAGCTGAAAACTATGTATGGTCAGATAAAAATGAAGTGAAAAAGTCCCTTAAGTTTAGCAGCATGAAGACTGTTTTCTTAGTAAGAGGTTCGGTAACAGTGTTAATAAGGAAAACAAATTGTAAGAGACTTAATTGTGTAAGTGGTATCCCAAAGCAGCCTAAGCACACCAAGGGAGCTGGACAAAATGGTCCACTGGAGCTCTGCCTGATGTTGCCCACTGGTTAGAGCATCAGACCGCGCACTGAAGGGTCACAGGTTTGATTCCCGGTCAAACCTTTAAAGTCCTTTACAGTTCACAAAGCTTTCTTTTCACATATGCTATCTTATCTGATGCCTACAGTCACTTAGCATCATTACTAGTTTATCCAATACTGTCAACTAACTGCTTCCCAGAAGCATTCATAAACACCAGCTGCACTTATTATTATAAAAAAAATATTAGCTGTGATGTTAATGAGTAGAAAATATTTGAAAGACTTAAAGGTTAATATAAGTCAATTGAGGCACAAGCGTGAACCTCCATGAAAAAAAGTGTATATTTTGTCAAATCACATGATATAACCACTCAACAAGAATTATAAAATAGAACTGTAACTGTCTCTTCCTCCAGTTTCTACCACTTTTATTCTTTATTTTTTAAAAACAAGCTTTGGGCCTCCCCAGCCCTACACAAAGGAATAACTGCCAATCATTTTCCTACCAGGGAGGTGAGGTTAAAGTCTCTGGAATTATTCCGCTGGAGAAAATTAAGAGATTTAATAACCAACTCCATATAAAGTTCTGCTATATGGAGGATAATACAGTGTTTTACAAAATGAAAATAAGAGAGCCCGGCGGTGAGTCTAGTGGTTGAGCATCGACCTATGAACCAAGAGGTCAAGGTTCGATTCCGGTCAGGGCACATGCCCAGGTTGTGGCTAGAACCCCAGTGGGGGACATACAGGAGGCAGCTGGTCAATGATTCTCTCTTCCTCTCTGAAATCAATAAAAATCTATTTTTAAAAAATTAAAATAAGAGAATATGAGTTTAAATTGACTACTGATAAGTTACTATAATGAAAATACTTAAGGACCTGTATCAAAGGGACTTTTGTAAACAGGACAATTTCCTATTAAATAAGACAACAGTAGTTTGATTTAAGTTCTTCAGAACTGTATATCTGTATACACTAATAACTAAACATCACTAATTTGCTAGTACCACTATCAGTAAATTAATGCTTTATTTACCTTAAACCTAAAAAAGCTGAATTTTTTATTGAACTGAGCCAATGATAATGGTTAGGTTGCTGGAATTAATAATGTCTACTGTGATTGGCAGCAGGTAAAATTTAGATCAGAAATATCAATGCAGCAGAGGAAATATTTGACAGCCATACCACCATCTAGCAAATTCATTACTTTGTTTTAGCTAATTTGTGTAACTGATTTAAGTACCAAGGCATTTATGTACAGGTACATTTATAATTAAAAAACAAAACTTACCCTAAGAAGCAGTAAACCATAAGTTAAGATTTAAAAGTATAAATAAAAGACAGCCATTTTCCCCACTTTTGTTACAAATTTGAGAATATTTTAGAGTTGGGAAAATTTGGATGTATTAGAATAGCTGAGGCATAAATTCAGGAATAAGTCATAACATATTTCAGAGCTTCTGATATTTCAACTTTAAAAAAAACAAAACAGTTAGAAAAGGTTTAATTCTAACATTACCATTGGAGCAAATGGTGGATTTGATGACTGCCCTCCACTGTCCCCTACATGCTGGGTTAACCCACTAGGATCTGAAGACTGTGCTGTAGGAAGCTGGATACTGGTTGCAGGTTGCTGAGATAATTCTGCTTTGTGGCTCTTATATGATTCATCCAATCTGCTACTTCTCTCTGTGGCAATGAGGTCACGAATTTTTTGCAGCTGATCCACTGAAGCTTTTTTAGGAAAGATAAGATGTGTTTCTCCCTGGAATTTATAAAATTAGGAAAAATTTTAATCTTTACTTAATACTAATAGTCATTCTTTTACATATATGTATAAATGAAGCCAATGCTATAGAAAATATCATTGTTTTCTTATTATATGGCACTTTTTAAATATACAAAGGTAATGCCTAACATGAATAAGAAAATTTGTCTTCTTGTTAGCATATAATGCTAAGACTATTTTATTAGTTCAAAGAACCTTTAGAAAAGTGTTTATCTTAAAAAAAAAAGAAAGAAAAGTATTTATCTTTTAGGAATACTAAGTCAGAAAGCCTCATAAGAGTTGCAAATATGCATATTCCTAGCTTCCCTGCAACAGTATATAATAACTACTGTTCTCTATGACATTCCCCATGAAATAATGATACTAGAGATACAGCCATACCAAATGATCACTGGTCACGTAAGACCAACGAGAAGTTACATAACTTTTTAATCTTCTAAAACCAAGTCTTTAGAGAATAACTACATGATTAGAAGTCTGTATATAGATTTCATTAATTCCACCAAGATACACAAAGTACACCCTAATGGTCAATTCAAAATCATGGATTGTTAACAATAATACTTGTCCAAAGTATTAGAAAAATAACAGTTGATATACACTAGCCTACTAAGAGCATATGTCTAGTCCAAACAAAACGAGCTATCAAAAAATAAAAGTCTAATTATTTATGCAGTGATTCATTTAATAAATACCCATAATATTATCAGAATGCTTGAAATATAATAAACATGATAACAAAGCTCACAATGTAAAATAGCAAATTATAAAACAAGAAAAAAGATGAAATGAAAATAGATTCAACCAATTTTCAAGGTGTTGAGAAGCAGCAGTGTTACAACAGTAATTCTACCAACTGTAAATGAGATAAAACAGTTGTTACAAAGTGCAGTAGACAGACTTGAAGACTGTAAGCATTTAAATTAAACTCCACAATTGAGAATAACCTTATTTTCCTGGTGATGGCAGACCTGGAGGAATTAACACCAAAACATTACTCAATGACGTGAAAATCAATTCTACATTAATTCTTTTTTAAAAAAAGCTGAAAGAGGCCAACACGCTCCATACATTGCTCATAATAGCTATAAAAAGAGACTATTTCCACATACTGTGTTTACTAGAGGCCCTCGGCCTGGCCTGGCCTGAGGGGTCCCAGATTGCAAGAGGGCATGATTGGTCTGGGGAGGGATGTGGGAGGTTGGCCAGCCAGGGAGGGACTGTGGGAGGGCTCCAGGGTATGTCAGGCCTGCTGTGTTTACTAGAGGCCCTCGGCCTGGCCTGGCCCGAGGGGGCCCAGATTGCGAGAGGGCATGGTTGGGCCGGGGAGGGACTGTGGGAGGGCTCTAGGGTATGTCAGGCCTGTCTTGCTCAGTCCTGATCCGCCTGACCCCAGCAGCAAGCTAACCTACTAGTCAGAGCATCTGCCCTCTGGTGGTCAGTGCATGTCATAGCGAGTGACTGAGCAGCCTTAGCATCTCATTAGCATACTATGCTTTAACTGGTTGAATGGACAACCGGACACTTAGGCTTTTATTATATAGGATGTGTTCTAGCCTTGTGCTAAGCACTTCACACACATTAAACTAATTCTCACAACCAGCTTGAGAGATAGGCATTAGGTTAATCTCCACTTTTATATGAAAATATGAAGGCTTAGAGAAGTTAAATATCCTGCCTGATGCTACAGAACTGTCAGAGCAAGCATTCAAACTTCATGATCTTAATTGTTATGCTATTACTGACTTAGACTGAACAGAGACCAAAAACCACATTTGTACAGTTGGGAAGGATGAGCAAAAAGAGACTATTTCTATAGTTGTAATGATTATCTACATGATAATTGGCATAAATTGGAACACAATGATTTTTCCAACATTAGAGGAACTACCTCACATCTATGATGAGGTCTGGGAAAAGAAAACAGACGTCTGGCTTAAATCCAAGTATGGAGGCTTCTGATCTCCTACTGTTGTGAGTGGAGGAGCAGTGAGAGAAATAGCTGACACTATGGACAGCGATGGAAAATAGGAGGAAAAGTATCTGGGACTATGTCTTAGTCCACAAGTTAGAGAGGCCCTGATAAGACAGACACTAAGACAGAGATGCTGCTCATGCCTTGTCTCCCTTCCCTTCATTCTTTTTAGGACCAGTTCCAACAGAACATGGTTATGGCCAGAGTGTCTGAACCAAACAAGTTTAATCAACAGCACTACATTTTCATTAAAGGAAAAAATTACAGGCTTAATGTCCTAGGTCCAATAACATTTTAAGATATCAATGAGAATTCTAGTATTCAACAAACCTGTTTCTTTTTTTTTCTTTTTTAGATATATTTTATTGATTTTTTACAGAGAGGAAGGGAGAGGGAAAGTTAGAAACATTGATGAGAGAGAAACATTGATCAGCAGCCTCCTACACACTCCCCACTAGGGATGTGCCCACAACCAAGGTACATGCCCTTGACCAGCATCGAACCTGGGAAGCTTGAGT